TGCATATGGTGGATGAGGGAGAGGAACAAGTCAAACATAGCCCGAAAGAATGGAGGCTCAGTACCAATGGCTATAGAAGAGTTAGGGGATTTAGGAAGAAGAAAGATTTAACAAGGAAGAGAAGGACTTTGGTTTTGTACCTGTTGAATTTGGGTCATCCACAAGTTATCTAGCTCACACTGCAAGCCTGGGTCCAGAAGAGAGACTGGGTCTGGGTCTATATGTCTGTGCGGAACATATGGAAGATTGTGGACACTGGGAGAGGAGATGACCAGATCAAGGTAAAGAAAAGTGAGGAGAGAAGGATGTAAGCAACAGAACTTTTGGGGAATGTCTACATTAGGTGGCTGGTGGAAGAAGAGCCAGCAAAGAAGACTCAGAAATTGTGATCTAGGAGGCATTGGAGAGGCAGTTGAATGCTGTTGATGACAGCACTGAAAACTAATGAAGAAGGTTCTAGGAAAGGAGTGATTCATAGTGTTAACTGCTAGAGAGGCAGAGAAGGAGAGGCCGTTGGATGTGTTGAATGAAACCTTTAAGAGCTTGCTTCCCAAAGTAGAGCAGGATCCAAGTTGCAGAGTCAAGGAATAAATAGGAGATGAAGAAGTAGAGGAAGCACGTGTTGAGTGGTGACAGGAAGAAAATGGGACAGTAATTTGAGAGGTAAACAAGTTCATGGGAGGGTTTTGTTGTTGTTTTAGGATCTGGGGAACCAGAATGAGTGTGTATACAGAGGGGAAGCAGCCAGTGGAAAGGGAAAGATTAAAGAGGTAAGAATAGGAGATGATTGATGCTGCAGGGCCTGGGAGGAGTTGAGAGGATGGGATGGAAAGCACTGGGACAAAGGAACACTTTATAACAAAGTCCTCTGGGTGTTCTGGCAACCAGGATGTCTTGGATGTGATCCAAGCAAGACTCTTCTTTTACTAAAGCAAGCAACATGGCGGCACCAGTGCAGCCCTGAGAATCTCAGATACAGAGGTGTCTTCTTTACTCCAAGACCAACCTCTCCACTTTCAAGCATTCAAAAAGGACAAAAGGTTAAATTAGACTTTCAGTATTCTAATTTTCCCACAAATTTATGTCCTTCCTGGGTTAGCCAAATCATAGAGTCTTTTCCCTCACCTGGATTCCAAATTTAATTAGCCAACTTCCTCCTTCCTCTCTGAGAGTCAGAAAATAGACCTTATTTCTCTCCTTCCCTTCCTAGCTTTTGCTTATCTAAGCTAAGGGTCCCATGAGAGCTTTAAGCTGATTTATTTCAGCTGGTGCCTCATAGCACATGGACTCTGGGTTAACCTTCTTGGATCCTCTGGGAGCATTTTTAGGAAGGTTTGCTAGGTATTCTGATCTACTAATAGATCCCCTGAGAGGAAGTCCACACTGTCACAGTAGATCTTACTACCTAACACCTAGTGAAATCCTAGGCTTTGCTGAACTCAGCCAACACACTGCAGGAAACACATGGGCTGGGGTTCCCAGAGAGATTGTCTAGATCTCAAAGAATAATGGTAAACAGAGTACAAAGCTGTCTGTAGTAGGAAGCTTTAGGGCCTTATTTTTTTAATTCTCTTAAAATTTTTTAAAAAATATTTATTTATTTATTTTTACAAATAGTTTATTGTCAAGTTGGTTTCCATATAACACCCAGTGCTCATCCCCACAAGTGCCCCTCTCCGTGCCCATCCCCCCCTCCCCGGGCCTAGGTTCCTCCTAACCAAATGCATGCATTACTCTACCATGCAAACCCACTTGAGTCCTGATATACCTTTGCAAGATACTCTGAACTGCTTTATCAAGATGAAGGCATTCATTGTGTAATTGACTGTTTTTGTCTTCCTCTGCTAAAATGTAATCTTTTTTAAAAAATGATTGTATTTTTAAGCACTGTCTACACCCAACACGGGGCTTGAATCCAGAACCCTGAGATCAAGAGATGCATTCCCAACAGACTGAGCCAGCCAAGCACCCTTAAAACATAAGCTCTTGATGGTAGAGACATTGTATCATGTTCAGTACAGTGCCTGGTACGTGGTGAGCACCTTCAAGTATTTGTTAAAGGAAAGGACTATCATGTTTGATGTGGAAAAGAAGTCTGATGAAAAAGAGTATGTTTGGCTGAGTGACTAGATTTCCAGTTGCAACATTTCAGAACACCTCTGTGGTTTCTTGGAAGAGCGTATTTCATAAAGGAGAGGGGAGGCAGATCAGGAAAGGTAAGCAATCATGAAATAAGTCAGGTCTCTCAAGGTGGGATCAACACGGACCATCAGAAGCTTTATGGAAGAGAGAAAAACTGGGAAGCCAAGATATACTGGCTTAAGATGTATCATTCATTCATTCATTCCCAAATATTTCTAGAATTCCTATTACGTGCTTGGAACAGGAGTTAGAAATTCAAAGGTGGGCCACTCTTAACACAGTTCTTGTTCTTAACAAATCTACAGCCTACCGAGAGACAAATACTCAAGCGAAGTAATTTCCATGAAGGGCTACTAAAGAAGGTCTGTATACAGGCAGAGAAGGACAAATACCATATGTTTGCACGTATAGGAGGATTAGGAGGAACTTGACGGAGGACCAAGGGGGAGAAGAAGGGCGGAAATGGTGGGGGAAAGGGAGAGAGGCAAACCATGAGAGACTCTTGAATGCTGACAAAAACTGAGGACTGATGGATGTGGGGGGGAGGGGGGATGTGCATGGAGGAGGACACTTGTGGGGATGAGCACTGGGTGTTANAAAAAAAAAAAAAAAAAAGAAGGTCTGTATACGAAATACCTAATTTGGGGGCGGGACTGGGGGGCCGGGAGAGGAGGAGAGGGATGGACAAAGTGAGAAGGATGGGAGATCAGGCGAGCCTTTTCGGTTTAAACTGAGACCTGAAAGATAAGGAGGAGATCTGACGGTCTGCGGAGCTGAAAAAAGTTCAATAGCTATGATTCGGGATCCCATCGAGAAATGTCAAGAGAGTGAAGGGGACCTTGGCAGATTTGGCTTACAGCGACCCCGGGTGTGAGAGGTCATTAGCCTCCTGAACAAGAACGATAACGTTCTGCCCTTCCACATTCCCGCAGAGCTGGGTTTATCTCAAATTATGTATTCCTTAATCCCGCAGACTCCCACCAACGGCACAGTGGTGAGGACCTGCAGACAGGCTAACTCTGCGGGAGACTGCGCGGAGGAGCCCCAGTCACAGCCAATTCCACCCCGGGAAGAGGCCCCAGAAACCCCACCCACGTCCAGGCACGTTTTCCTGGGCCGAGTCCCAGGGGCCGCCCACGGCCGCGGCGGTCACGTGACCCGAAGTGTGACGTAGGAGGAAGGAGACGCCATTAGAGGGAGGCGGAGAGGGAGTGCTCTTCGCCTTTTCTCGGGTGCTTGACGTGGTGGCTGGGGGCCCTTCATCCTCAGACTTCCCTCGGCCCTTCCAGGCTTCGCCCCGAGGCGAGAGCGGAGGCGGCGCCCGGGGTTGGCGGGTCGGTGCGGACGGGCCTGCGCCGGCCGCGGCTGTGAAGGCGCTGCGGCGGCTGTGGGGCGCTCGGCGCAGCTCTAGGGCTCGGGCGGCCGGGAAACGGGATGGCTGCGGCCGGCAGCGGAGGGGCGGCGGCGGGCAGAGCCTACTCATTCAAGGTGGTGCTGCTGGGGGAAGGCTGCGTGGGGAAGACGTCGCTGGTGCTGCGTTACTGCGAGAACAAGTTCAACGACAAGCACATCACCACTCTGCAGGTGCGGGCCCCAGGGAGCGGAAGGTGGAGCCTTGGGGCCCCTACCCCTCCAGGGCTGTGAGGACTTTGCTACCATGCTCCCCTGGATCTGGGCTCACAAATCTCAGGCCTGTCACCGCCAGAATGCCTTTCTGAATTCGCCCCGGGGGCACGCAGGGTCGGGGCATCCTGTAGACGTAAGGACAGGCTGTTGGGAAGGGAGAGGAACGGCCCTGAAAAGTCCCCCGTGTGGCTGCGCATACTGTGGAGTCCCTATCGCATGGCTAGTTTTCCCCTTTGATTTCACTTCCGCTTGGGCCCTAGGTGCCATCACCCTACAGTCACCGACTGTCAGCCCTTTTTCTTTCTTTCGGAATTAGGAACTTAGCTGCGGATTTTATTTTGCGAACTAGGTGCTTTGTAACTTCAACGCTTACTGATGACTAAGTGTTTACGCAAGTTCCATTTTGTCCTGTCTTCGAGTAACCTGCTGATTGGCGAAACAGTCATTTTTGGAGGCTTTTTGAAATGACCGCTTGCGGGCGTGGGTTACGCAGTTTCATTGTTGGCCTTCGTGGGTCCGACCTAAGAGGCAGTCATTCTGTGAGGTCGGTCGACCCACATGCACAGGGAAAAGTCATGCAAATACTAGCCAACAGTTGGTCCCCAGGCTAACAGCTTCGTTGCTGCTGCTACTTATTTTCTTTGCTTGCAGCATAGGGCCGACTTTCTTCTACAGTTCATCTTAAGGTTGGTAGGAAAAGTTTTAAGCGTAATCATAGATTGGGGGTGAAGCCAGTCCTTTGAGGCAGTTGTGATCTGGTCCCTCTCCCACAGAAGTCAGTTTGCACGTGTTAAAAGTATCAACTAATCTGACTTGATCAGTTTAGTTACAGGTAGTAAAGTCGAGTGTACTTTTCTTTTTTTAATGCTTTATTTATTTTTTAGAGAAAGAGACAGAGTGTGAGTAGGAGAGGGGCAGAGAGAGGGAGACAGAGAATCGGAAACAGGCTCCATCCAGGCTCTGAGCTGTCAGCACAGAGCTGGGGGCAGGGAGACTGGAACTCACCAGCAGTGAGATCATGACCTGAGCTGAAGTCGGACGCTTAACAGACTGAGCCACCCAGGCGCTCCATAAATTGAGTGTGCTTTTCAGCCTGGTTGTCTAGGTTCGTATTCCACTTCCATCTATTTAGCTGTGTTCTATTATCTATTTAGTGTGATCTTGGGCAAGTTAATTAACCTGCCTGTGCCTAAGTTTCCTCATCTGTTAAGATGGCTGTAATGATAGTATCTAGCTCATGAGGTTGTCAAGACAAATATAAAATCACTTAGAACGTGGTCTGTTGTAAGCCCTCCAACTTTATTACTGGCCCAAATTGCACAATAGACCTTCATTAGTGATTGTGTAGTGTGTAAGAACATCGACACTAATAGAACACACAATGTCATAATTGTTGTGACATTTGATATTTGATGCTATTATTAAACTACTGAGTCTAGAATTCACAAAGATGCTCTGATCCCATGTTCTATTTTTACTTCTGTTTTTACTCCTCTTATGTAAAGCATAATATCTGAAAAAGTGAATGGCAGGAAACTCCTTGCACTTAACACAGTTTTAATAGTTGTTACTGTTGAGTGTTGCTAGTAAAGTCAAGGGAATTTGTAAAGTTAATACCTATGATTATTTGGAACTTAGAAATTTATTTAGGTAAAGTAATAACCAAAGCTAACATTTAGTGATTTCTTACTGTGCTGAGTATTTTACTTTTTTCTTGTCATTTAATTCTTCTAACAGCCTTTGAGGTAGTTTTATTAGACCCATTTTGTAGGCAAAGAAACAGGCTTGGTTAAGTTGAATAATTTGCTGGCAGTCATTTTGCCACAAGTCATGCACGGTGCCCAAGATGAAATTTGAACCCAGGTCTGATTTCAGATTTTGAGCAAGTAAGTCACACTGCCTCTGGAAGGTGATAAACCACTGCTTTAGTGGTTACCTTTGTGCTACAAATCTAAGATAAAAGAGAAAATCATTATACTTGAGCCTCCACCTTTAAGATAATTTAGTCCTTCAACCCAAAAATTACACCTTCATTATTCATTTCAGAAACATCCTTGAAGCTAAAAGCAGCCTAAAGATTTTTAAATCTTAGAGACCACTGCAACTATACTGGAGAGGATGAACTGATGGTAGATTTTCAGTATCAAAAACATAGCAGTCCTGATTTTAATATTTATATGACTCTTGTCATAAACAATGTCAGGATTATATTGTAAAATTGAGGATTTCATTGCATACAAATGTATGGAAGCAGTGTTGTATTTAATCTCTTTCTCTTACATATCAGTTCATCTCATTTTAATTTTTTTAGAGAATTATAACCTATAAAACACAACCGTATATCATTTTAATTTCCAAATGGAGAGGAGATTGTGCATCAGAAGATTAGAAGACATGAGAGGAAGAGTCTCTCTTTTTCTCAGCAGAGAAACCTATCTGTGAATACTTTGTGTTTTGCAAAGTACAGTGTCTTACAATCATATTCAAACAGTTATGAAACTGAGGAAAACCTAAGGTAGTTTATGGTTCACTCTTTCAATCATTTGTTTAATATTTCCGTCAAGTGATTGTTCACTTTTGTCTGAACATCTTGGAAGTGAGGTGAACTGATACAGAAAGTGGAAAACTTAGTATGTCCTGAGATGGCCCATTTCATTTTTGGACAGTTTTAATTTCCAATAAATTTTTCTGTGTATAAGACCAAAATCTGTTTTCCTTGTAGTTTCCAGTTCCAATTCTGTCCTCATCCCTTCTGATAGTTGAAGACAGCTATCATATCCTTTGGTCTTGTCTTTTGGGTAAACAGCTCTGGTTCCTTTAAAGGAATCTCCTATGACATCCTTATCATTTCGCTATTTAATCATTGTCCTCTTTCCTTAAAATGTGATTCTGTGAGCTGTAGAGATTATTCCAAGTGTGCTTTGAGTTAGCAGAGTTCAAGCTATCACCTTCCCTATTGAGAATCCTTTTCCAACACTGAGATAGAAAGGATTCTATAAGCTTGTGGACCGCTGCTACATTTATTAATTTTGGGCTTGCTGTCTTAATCTTAATTGCTCTCCTCCCCCCCCAAAAGGCTTTATATCCCTCAAAATCTTTTTTCTTTGATTTTATAGTTTTTTTTTTGTCCTAAAAGTATTCGAACATTAAAATAGGCTTTGATAAATTTACTCCAGTGGTTAAAGCCTGTTAATGTCCTTCTAAAGTTTGTTTTTAAGTTTAAGAATCATTGATTGAGCTCCTGTGGGTCAGGCACTTGGTTGAGTTCTGGGCATGCAATGAAAAAGAATGTATGTTCCCTACTATCTGGATTAGCTGCTCATTTTAACTTTGTCACCTGAAGGTTTGCTAAGAACGTCTTCAGTATTTCATCAGGTCATTAATAAAGACTTTGAAAAGAGGAGACAGAGGGCCAAGTACAAAGCTGTGCGACAGGTCTCATTATAGTCCAGTGATGCGTGGCCAGAGGTGTATTTTTCTTTAGTTGTGCAGAGTTCTAGGATGGGGCTTTTTCAGACTATGCTTGAGCCATACATAGTCTTTCTCCTTGAGTGAGAAACAGTTATTAGAGGTGTGTTGTACATATTAATGATAATGGAAACAGAAAACAGCTTGAGATTTACTGTTACGGGCTACTAACTAGTGAGTACAAAGCCTTTAATGAAGATATTATTCCAGCATTATAAATCTAGCTTTTTGCCCTAGTTACATCAGTCTTGCCCACAGGGAATATCATGAGATGTTTTGTCAAATGCTTGCAGAAGACAAGATACACTGTGTTTCTGCATTAGGAAACCATATGATGTGGTAAAAAGGGACAGGACTTTGAAGTTAGACTTGGTTTTGTATTTTGGCTCTTACTTCATAAGCCATTATGATCTTGACAGGTTATTCTAATGCTTGTAAACTGGCTCTTGAACTGTGATATGGGAGAATCTCACTTATAGGAGGTTTTCTTTAGGGTTTTTTTTTTTTTTTTTAAGATTTTATGTAAGTAATCTCTACACCCAACGTGGGGCTCAAACTTACAACCCCGACGTCAAGGGTCACATGCTTACTGAACAAGCCAGCCAGGTGCCCCTTTACTTACAGGATTTTTTTGTTGGTTAGAGAGCCATCATAGGTAAACCTCCTAGCACAGTGCCTGGCACATGTGTGTTTAATAAGTGTTTGCTGTTGAATGAATAGATGGGACTTAATTTGTGTTGGTTTTGTTCATGGTAAATCAGTGAAAAAGGTAATGTATAAAATTGCTTATAATTTTATACATAATATAATTATGTATATACATTATGTATAAATATGTTATTTTTTATATACATTTATTATTACCATATATTTGTTTATTGTCCATTCTAGAGTTTTGTCTGGGATTTACATCTGTGGAAATTAACTTCTTTCTTGAATACTGTGACATTGGCCATACCTTGGTGTTTTAGTACTGTTCCCTTTTTGCAGAGCTTCTCCTAGGTTACTAATAAATGACATAATCTTGTAGGTGAGCTCTCTAAGAACTCAAGATCTTTTACCTAGCTCAGGAAACTTGATCTTATATGGAATCCCCAAGCTCTCTTATGTGATTGATCTAAGCAATTAAAGTCAATGATCATTTTATACGTTTAACGTTGTAATAGCTGGGGAATATAAAGAATAAGGTACTTTGACCATTATTTAGCTTTCTTGATTTTATTCTTAAATGCTTGTGCCATTTTATCGTTAACCACCTTTTATCTTTGGTATGTCTCTTTGTGTCTGTGTTCTTGGGTGATCACTTCCTTTTCTTTAGGTGTATGCCATTTCCCACCCTTATTTGAAAGTTTTTTTTTTTAATTTTTTAATGCTTATTTTTGAGAGACAGAGCATGAGTGGGGGAGGGGCAGAGAGAGAGACACAGAATCTGAAACAGGCTCTGACAGCTGAAACAGGCTGTCAGCACAGAACCTGATGCATGGCTCAAA